TGGCTTGTGAAGGCCTCAGGAGCCGTCAGTGTGGGGTGGGCAGAGATGCATTCTGGAAGGTGCCCCGGGCTGCAGAAAGTGGCCCACAGGAGAGGCTGGAGGAGGAACACTGTGTGCCCGGGCACTGGACTTGGGGGCAGAGTCTTGGAGGTGCCCACAGTTTGGTGGAGTCAAGACACATATACAGATCAACTATGTCCCATGTTATTGGTGCCGTTACAGAAGTGGGAAGAGGGTCGGGGGCAGTATTTTTTAGCTGAACGACAAGAACTAACACTGCTGAGCACTGACTGTGTACTAGGTGCTGTGTCGGGCTCTCAGCTTCTGTTCATCCCTCAGTCCCAATCAAGCCTCTGGAAGAGGCACTGGGATTATTCCCATTTTACAGATGCAGAGTCTGAGCCACAAAGCGTCCATGTAGCTGGCGGTGGAACTGGAATTTGATTCTAGGCTCTCTGGCTCCATAACCTTCTTTATCCCACCCTAGTCTCGAAACTCATGGCCCTCCCTGAAATGCAGTTGGACTGGCTTCAGGGGAGAGCTTGTGCCTTTTCTGGCTTCTGATGTCCGCATAAATCATTGAAACTTTTGACTTTGGATGTCTTTGACCAAACATTAGGATCATGGTATGAGGATTTCCTCTTAATCACTCATTGCTGATAAAAAAAGCAGAGGATACCTTTGACATGCTCTGTTGTCACAGCTAATGCCCACCTCCTCCGCTGTCAGTCACTTGCTGCCCTTCCCCCACCAGCAGCAGGGATCTAACGAGCAGTGATGGATGATTAACACTGCCGAGGGGAGGCCCTCTGATGCCCTCTGTTTACATCTAGGTGGAAAGGAGACTATGGAACCAGAATCCAACAGTACTTCCCGTCGAATTACGTCGAGGACATTTCCACAGTTGACGTGGAGGAGCTGGAGAAACAGGCAAGTCTCCATCATCGCGGGTAGGCTCCGGGTGATCCTGTTCTTTGGGGAATGCATGGAGCCATCTCAGTGGGCACACAGCACACGCACTGCTGTGTGGTTCCCATGGAGCTCTGGAACAGGGACAACAGAGTGACATGGAAATGAGGATTGTGCCCCCAAGCTGTTGTGGGTGAAAGTCACTAGGACAAGCCATCGTGTTTTAATCAGGTTGTGCTGGGCCAGGAGTCTTTGAATATGCAGGAGAATTCCCTCTGGAGTGAAAATGGCCAAATGGGGAATTTGTCCTTTGCTTGAAGCAGCTTGCAAATGAAACATTTAGTTTGGCCAGCCAGACATTCAGAACGTGCTTGGTGTGAATAAGCAAGCGGGCCTAAGGAGAAGGTGCGTTGAGGCCCTCCTGGTGACATTGCAAACCTGGTTTCTGTTCCCTACCTCCTCTAGCCCAGAAGGAGCAAAGAGCAACCACTTTGAGTGTGACAGCATTGCGCCAGGGAGGAACTCTGTAATAAGGACTGTAAGGTCCTATTTGAGCCCAAGGAATTTTCTAAGGAAACGGGGGGGGGGGGGGGGGGGGGGACAATCTGGGAAGGCTGCATGGAGGAAGGGGAATTTGAGCCTTAAAAGGCAAGTTAGAGATCAACAGCCAGAGATGGACAGGAAGGCATTCCAAGTGGGAGGTACAGCCTAAGCAAAGGGAGCACAGTTGTGTTCAGTGTGCTCGACCTGAGGGAGAGATATGACCCCCTCTCACTGTGTCTGTCCGTGGTACCCCTACCCACGCAGTCAGCATTGTCCTAGTGGAGGGGTGGGGGAATACAAGCAATGGACAGCACACAGTTCTGCCACCTCTCCTGAGATCAAGATATTTCCCAACTTACCTGGACCCTGAGATGGTTCAAAGGTCCAGTGGGAGGTAGAGCTGGAAGGCTAACCAAAACCCGGAAAACCTTAAAGCCAGATCACAGAGCATGG